AGTGATCCATTCTGTGTTGTGCGAGTTAATAACGCGAAGAAGTTCAAAACCAGCGTGGCTTATGAAACGCTGTCTCCCGTGTGGAATGAGTCTGTTTCCATCGCCATGCCGCAAGAGGACGACAAGATATCCCTTGTAAGTTCACGTCCTTGTTCTAGCACCTAGTGAGCATGGTCGCACGCCAGTGGAGGTGATGTGAGTTCCGTTTGATGTTTATTGCATGCGTCTGTTCATTTTAGGTCATTTCAGGATGAGTGTGTATATATGTATACGGAGAGATTCCACGAACTTATGCACGAGCTAACTTACCGAATTTTCTCTTCCCAGTTTGTTTTACGATCTGTTATTTTTTATGCAGGACGTCTTTGACAAAGATGTGTTTCAGAATGATTTCATGGGAACAGTTTCATTGACAGTGGAGGAAATAAAGGAAACCTCCAAGGTTTTCTTTCATTTTGTTTTTTTAAATAACCCTTTATTATTCACTGAAAAAAGGTAACATACAACACAATTTCAAAAAAAAAAAAATTACAAAAAATTAAAATGCAACAACTTACAAAAAAAAAATTACAACTAGTTAAAATAGGTAGCTGAAAAGATCTACGAATTACGTTCTTACACTCACAAGAATCGAACAAAACAAAGTGCTCTAAAGAGTAACAAGGTCTCGAATCTTCTTTTTGTCTGTCCCGAGCTTGTTTTTCAAAAATTTGAGATAGGAAGTAACCTCCAAGATTTCCTATTTAATTATTTTTAATGTTCATTCGCTTTTAAATTCCCAACACTCAATCGTTCTGTTATCTATTTTTTCATATAATTATTTAACGGTTTAGAGGATTACGTGAAGATTACAAGCCATTTCCTTGGGTGGCCATACCAGTTTTAGATGCTACAACAAATTAAAGCACGTTGTGCTCATTATTTATGCCATAATTCCTTCCACAGAAAGGAGGAGCTCAGTGGTTTAAACTGCAAGAAGCTGAATCAGGAGAAATTCAAGTTCAATTTAAAGTATCCAAACCAGGCGAACAGGTAATCAGTGTCCCTTCAAGTAAAAAGGCAAATGTTTAGCTGAACATGTTACGCAGATTTGAAAATTACCCCACCTTGACATCATCAGTGACGTCATACTTGCAAACTCTTATCCAGTCAGATGACTTACGTAAGAAGCCAAACTATTTATAGTCGTCTGAACTCAGTGTCACTTTAAAGCTGCTCAGGTGATTAATGGACGCGTTTTTCAATCGTCTCACGAAACTTTTGCACTTCAGCATTTTCTAAACACAACTGCTTACTGCGCTAGTGATTACTCAATTAAAAAAATAGAGTTTGCAACATTGAATTGATGAATCCTAGTGAAAATTGTTGCTTTATACAACACTTTTGTGATATTTCACTGCGTCGCAAATGTTGACTACGGTTCATCTTACTAGGATGAGCCTGACAAAGCAGCGGAGTCACAGCCTGGAGAAAGCGGCAATGACTCAGGAATCAGTGACACTGGTGAACAAACTGAGGTGGTCAAAGACGTGTTTGATCTTACACTTGACAAGATGGACGGTGAGGGGTGTTGTTGATAAATTTGCAAGCTTTTGTGAAAGCGTTGTCATTATCGTTATCTTTCCATGTGTCACAGTCTCACTGGTCGTCAACTTTTTATTCCTTGACAGAATACATAGAAAGCCAGATTCCGCCATTGTTTTATGGTGTGTCAGGAGAAATCATTCAGGGCTCAGACATTACAGGTAACCGATAATAGTCAACAGGTGACCAAGGAAAACCCATCCCACCCTAGAGAAAAAGTTGGAGCTTGAACCCAGACCTCGAGACCTCCAGCCCAGTACACTAAATGTACTATTCAGGGCCAAATCCAGGTTCTGTTGCTCATTGTCTGTGCCAGCTGTTTTCTGGACTTGCTAAAGAACACGATATATCGTTACAGTGCAATACTGATGTGACATCTTTCCAAGTTGTCGTGAGTGCTTGAGCTATTTTTTAAATGGATCATAATAATCAGTTCAGTAACACTGTTTCTTTGCTCTGGTTCTTTTTTGACTCTCTTCGCGTTATGTTTTCTGCAGGTTGGGGGACGTTTCAGATTAGAGCAAGAGTTGAGATGTAAGTAGGAGAAATTGTCATAATGAGGTTATTTCCAACAATGATCAATGTTCACGTTCTCCGTGATATATTGTGAAGGAGATACGATAATCTCTTGGGGGAGGAGTGTTGTGTGACGAACCAAATAACAGCTGACAAGGAGACAAGGAGACAGGTGTTGAGAAAATGGAAACTCGTCACATTAGGCCATGTACCCGGCATGGGTAGATAGTCTTGATGAACTTGCAGATTATTGAAACTAACATTAGGGCAAACTTGTCAATGTTTGTATTAATGCGGTGTAGCTTAAGGTGCGTTCCTTTGGGCTGATCTGGATCAGGACCCGGGAGGGGCACTGCCATATATGGGCTATATAGGTATGTGCCGCTGTGAAGAGTATGGTTTTCAAGCAGTTTACTCTAGGATAGGGTATATAAAGCAGANGAGAACAAAAATCGTCGATGACGAAGCCTTCATCACTGAGTGGTTTACAGTAGGGTCGTCGCAGTTATCACAAAGGGTGCGTTCCTCTGAGGTGATCTCGATCAGGATCAGTGATCCAAGATCACTCGGATCATAGTGCATCAAAGGAACCGATGAATCCGTGACCAGAGTGGATTCTTCGGTTCCTTGGATCACTGATCCTGATCCAGATCACCCCAAAGGAGCACACCCTTAGATTCCGAACACGAATCATATTAGGTGTCAGTGTGGATTACGTTTGCCGTCAGCTTCCTTGGTTCTTGCCCTGCTTCTTAAAAAACGTTTCTAACTTCGAATTCAACTGCCGCTGATGTGGCGTTATTCTTGACCACGTGACAAATGGGAGGGTTTATTTTGATTCTACTAATCGAGCTTGTTTTTGCTAGTTTGTTCTCGTTCCAACTCATCCTTCTGAATTTATTTGTCAGTCCTCGGCATGGTCGTAAAAGCAGCGTCAAGTACGAATATATTACAATGTGTACAACTCCTCAGCTCGCTCCGGAAAGTGGAATGGCAAAATGGAATTTCATCTTTCAAGTAAGACATGTACACTTTGAATAGTTCGTCTTCATTTCATGCCTTCAGTAAGACTCAGCTAATGTTTTATTTCCTTTGAAGACCACTGGAGGAACCGCCATTTCCAACGAAGCGGGGCTTGTGTTTGAGCTTAGAGACGCCAAGAAAAAAGTAGAAGGCAAGGCAAGGATTGGTATTCAGGACTTCTTCAGAGGTAAGCGAAATTTTGATACCGGGAGGGTTGATTTGAAATAGGACTTCTAAAAATTTTCGAACAAGAGCATAGACAAGGAAAATTAAAGGCACACTGTGGTTAACTCTGGTAACGATTAGAATATTCTTGACTGAACGGGCTTGAGTGATTGAAATGGGTCTGAAATGGTTTGGCTAGTCTTTGATGTGCCAATCACCAATGGCTTTAATAGGCTAGCCATACTAAAACACTAATTAATAACCACCGAGGGTTTCTGAAACATCCAAATAATACACAATGATGTGTTTGAATTATGTTTCCGTTATCGTTTGTTTTTTGTCAGACGTGTTTACCAAGAGATCGAGGTCGAACACTGGTAGTGTTTCGGAAGGTAAGAGTCCTTTTAAAATATTCGAGCAAAATTCTTCCAAAGTGAGTATGATAAGGAATATTAAATGTAGAAATGACATCAACTCGGAAAAAAGTCCGAGTTCCAGATGGGATTTGAACTCACGGCCCTCTGTACCTAGCCGGACGCTCTAAGGGACCGTTCATTTTTTATGAGGGAGGGGGGGCTGGTGGGATTTGGGAAGCACCATTTAAAAATCGCATGACCCCCCCTCAGCTTACCAATA